GGGGTTTGTGGCAGTATAGGGCAAGGGGTCGAAATTGGGGGGAAAGGGGAAAAATTTTTTGAGGATAGTGGGGGTCAGGGTTTGGGGTAGGGAGGAAAAAAGGAAATTATTTCCGTAAAAAGTAGACCCTTTGCAAGGATTTTTTTGTCACTGTGGGTTTTTCAATATATTTTTTAAATGGGGGGTTTTAAGAGAATTGAAAAGCTAAGGTCTTGGCAAAAGGTGTGGTGTTAAAAAAAAAAAGAATCAAAAACAAAAAAATGGGAAATTGTCCCCCGCTGCTCCCTTTTTGATGACCTGAGCTCTTGGGAGATTCTGAAGTGAAGTTTCCGAGGGGTTTGGTGGATGAATTTGGTAGGGTATGTAAAATAAGAAAATTAAAAGTGAATATAGGAAAGAGTAAGGTTATGAGGATAACAAAAAGATTAGATGATGTAAGATTGGATATTAGATTGGAGGGAGAGAGTATGGAGGAGGTGAATGTATTCAGATATTAGGAGTGGACGTGTCAGCGGATGGGTCTATGAAAGATGAGGTGAACATAGAATTGATGAGGGGAAAAGGGTGAGTGGTGCACTTAGGAGTCTGTGGAGACAAAAAATTTTTTGTTGTGGAAGCAGAGGGGGGAATGTATGAGATTTTAAAATTTGGTTGCAAAACATCTTGTAGGAGTGGTAAAAGTTTGGTTGGAAAAGGTTTGATGCAACAAGGAAAAAGGCTGGGGCAGTGGGATGTCTTTTTAGGGAAATTTTTTGGGGAAATTAGGAGAAGGTGGGGATTATTAAAACTATTTTCAGGGGCTGGGAAGGGTTGTTGGTGGGGGGGAAACTTTGTAGAGGGGTTGGAACAAAACAGAATGACTTTGGAGTGTATCAATCTGTAGTAAAGGGAAGGGGTTTTGGGGGTTTGGGGCCTAGGAAAAGGGTTGGGGGGGGGGGTTTAAAGGAGGTTTTGGTGTGAGGGGTTTGGGATTTCCCTTCAAGCGTGAAGGGAGCAATTTGATATTTAAAATTGAGAAAATGGGGGTTCCCCCTTTTGGAGGGTCGACGGGCCCCTCTCCAAATTTCCCCGTTTAAGGGTGGCCAAATTTAAAAAAAAAAAAAATTTTTTTTCTCTCATGAAAAGATGGGAAAATTTTTTCCAATCAAAAGGGGACCCCCAAAAGTTTGAAATTTGTGGAAAAACTTACGGTTTTATGCCTCGAAAATTTTAGCGGTCTCGGCGTGTTTAGCATTGGCGTTTTTACCCACTTTGGCTCCTTTTTTGGCCCAAATTCCACTGTCCCTAGTCGACAAAAAAACATGAAATTTCGTTTAAAACTCCATTTTTTCATCGAAGGGGTTGCAAGAAACCCCCCATTTATAAAATTTAAATATCAGTACATTTGGGTCAAAAATTCGGGAAATTTTTGCCTTTCCCCACACAAATTTCAAAAGATCCAAAATTTTCCCGGGAATGGGGGTCCGATTAAAAAAAGAAAGACATTCCTGGCCAAAAATTGACTTTTCCCTTGGGGTTCTTTTGTCACGTTAAAGGCCCCCCCTTATAGTCTTTTTTTTGTTTTTCCACCTTTAAATTTTTTTTTTTCCCAATAAATATAAGATTCCGGGTTATGCAAAATTTTCGCTTTAGTGTAAAAAAATGGAAAAAAATATTTTTGGTGCACTTGTAAAAAGAATTTGACCCCCAGTTGCGTGTATTGCAGGGGTTGGCACGATTTTTTTTATTTTTAAAATTTTGGTTTAAAAATCGACATTTCTGCTATTTGGCTCAATTTTTAAGGGATTTTCATTGTTTAAAAACCCGTCAAAATCAACTCAATTTCTGTAATATGTCTTCCATTCTATAAAATGGGCCAAGAAAAACTAGAATACAACAATAAATTCCATACGAAATTTTCACTGAAAATTTTCTGGTTTTTTTCCAAAAAAATGGTCAAAAGGTTTTTTTTTTTTCATTATGCACTGTGGCTGGGAGGATTTTTTTTTGATGTGCACCTGACCAATAGACCCCCTTTTTTTCTTTGAAGGCCCACCAGTTTCTCCCAAATTGATTTTAGGGCGCTAGAATTTTTGGGTTTCTTTAGTCAAAAAAACCCCGGGTCGTAAGCCGTACTAGTATGTCCGGAAAACCCCCAAAGGGGTTTTACTTTTATGTGCTGTTGGGTGTTTGAGAAAGTAACATTTTTTGAAGGGGTTTTTGGGAAAACCGGGAGGCCGGGAAATTTAGTCCTGGAGATGGGGAAATACATTTCCTGCAATCTGAAGGCGGGTGTTTTTAAAGTTGGGAGTTTAAAAAATGAGGTAAAGCACCCTTTGGGAAAAACAGTGGGTGGAAAATGAAAAATTTATGAAAGTTTTTTTTTTTGGGCCCTCCCGCCTTGGTTGGGAAACGGCCAGTGTTTTTAACCCCTTCAGGGTCCCAAAGGCCCCAAATCTGGGGTCCGCCCAGGGGTCAAGAATTTTCCAAAAAAAAAAATTTTTTATTTTTTCTTATGAAATGTTTGAGAGATTTTTTTTGAAGGTAATAAACAAAAAAAATACGAATTTGGTGGAAAAAAGCGAAATTATGCCCCCGCGATTTTTTATGTGTCAGCGATAATTTTTTCGAATCGGCGATTTTGCCGACTTTGGGCCCCATTTTAGGGGCCAATTTCATTATTCAATTTAACCAAAAATTTTTTGTATTTCCTAGTATTACTTCTTTTTTATCGATTGAGCACAAGGGAAAACGCCAAATCAAATGTTTTAACTTCAAAATTAAAATGATCGGAAATTGGGTTTAAATTTTTCCAAATTTAAAACAAAGTTCAAAATATTCCAATTTCAAAATGGGTCCCGAATGAACAAATTTTTGGGGCTTTTCTGGAAATAAACTACATTTCCTCTGTTCATTAGTTATGTTTGAGGCTTACAAATAAATTCCATTTTGATTTTTTATTCACATAATAAATTTTTATTCACCCCAAAAAATAGAAGATTTATGTTATGCAATACTGTAATAATTGTAATAAATATCATCACCATATTTGTGAATGTATATTAGACCCCCCAGCTGACATGTATTAGACGTGTGGGTCGTTTGTTTACTCTTGAATATCGGCAAAAATTTAACATTCCGCTACTTTTGGCTCAGTTTCAAGCCATTTCCAATGCTAAACCAATCAAAATCATCTCTATTTCTGTAATATGTCTTCCAGTCTATCAAATGAGACCAAGAAATCGCAAATACAAACTATAAAAAACATACGGAAAAAAAACTGCAAAGTTGCTGTTTTAATCGAAAAATATGATTCATTTTTTTTCTTCATCATACACTGTGTGCTGCAGGATTGTTTTATGTGGTGTGCACATACCACATAGTGTATTCTCTCATATCTAGGCCCAAATGTACCACTCACAGTTTATTCAGAGTGAGCTGAGCTCATGGCGTAGATCTACGGTTTGGCCCTGAACGTTAAAGCCGTAGATCTACGGGATGGACCTGAAAAGGGTTAATAAACAATATTACAATAATACAATAGTCTGCATAAAAAAGTAAATCTTCTATTGTTTTGTGTGAATAAAATTTAAAAATAGAAAGCAAGTTAATTAAGAGGGGCCTAGAGACTTGACAGTTGAACAGAGAAATGTTCTTTAGTGGGCCTAGAGACTTGACAGTTGAACACAGAAAATTTACTTTAGGGGGCCCTAGAGACTTGACAGATAAAACACAGAAAATGTTACTTTAGTGGGCCTAGAGACTTGCAGATGAACACAGAAAATGTTACTTTAGTGGGCCTAGAGACTTGACTATGAAACACAGACAATGTTACTTTAGTGGGCCTAGAGATTGACAGATAAACACAGACAATGTTACTTTAGTGGGCCTAGAGACTTGAAGATGAACACAGAAAAATGTTACTTTAGTGGGCCTAGAGACTTGACAGATGAACACAGAAATGTTACTTTAGTCCCAGGAATGTGTGCATTGTTTATTCAGGAATTTTTTTGAAATTGGCATCATTTAAAATTTGTGTGAAAACTGGCCAAATTGCCAATTTTTACCACTTTATTGGGTAGTTGAAATTGGTAAATGGTTTCTTGTACTCAGTCGATAAACAAATGAATTCTAGTGAAATTTGCTTTTAAGTTTGGTTGACTGGAACAATGGAATTGGCTGAAAAAATCTTTGACATGAGAGCAAATTTGTGAGCATGGGTCTCGACAGTGAATGGTGTGTAGACAGACTTGAAAACTCCATTAATGGTGTAGGGTAGGATTGAAACCCCAATTAGGATTGATAATGCCCCTAAAAGACTGGGAACAGTTGAAATACCTTGATTTGTATTCCCTGGAGCACAGGCAGGAGAGATACATGTAATATACACTTGGAAAATCCTAGAGGGAATTAGTACCCAACTTACACAGAAAATCACTCCCTATGAAGCACAAGACTCAGCAGGAGGTGCAACATTCCCCCAATGAAAAGCAGCAGGCCCCGAGTACACTGAGAGACAACACAACAAGTGTCTGGGGCCCCAAAACTGTTCAACTGCCTCCCCAGCATACATAAAGGGGATTACCAATAGACCCCTGGCTGTCTTCAAGAAGGAACTGGACAAGCACCTAAAGTCAGTACCTGACCAGCCGGGCTTTGGTTATGCCTAAGTGTGCAGCCAGCCCGTAACAGCCTGGTTGGTAGACCCTGATTTCCCCCATGAGGCCTGGTCTCAGACTGAGCCATGGGGGGGTTGACCCCGAAACCCTCTCCAAGTATACTCCAGGTAATGGTGTAGGTAGGATTGAAACCCCATTAATGGTATGGTAGATAGAGCTGAAACTTCATTAATGGTGTAGATAGGATTGAAACTCCTTTAACCATTCTTTGGATATATCTTTTTCAAATATTATTGTTATAAGGATAGAAACAAGCATCCTCACCATCATTCAGTTGGTGGCTTTCCATCCTGACCCTTACAGAACATGGCAATAAGGTGTAAATGGCTTGTTGTTCCACAGAATGAGACGAATGAGGGCGGAGGCGATGGAACGACACCAGATGGTCGTTTGAAGCGGCGGTTCACCAGGAGCAGGTATACCAACCATCCAGGGTGGTAGCAGACTGGTAGATAACAACCATCTAGGGTGGTAATAGACTGGTAGACAACCATTCTGGGTGGTAGCAGACTGGTAGATAACAACCATCCAGGGTGGTAGTAGACTGGTAGATAGCAACCATCTAGGGTGGTAATAGACTAGTAGACAACCATCCAGGGTGGTAGTAGACTGGTAGATAACAACCTTCTAGTGGTAATAGACTGATAGACAACCATCCAGGGTGGTAGCAGACTGGTAGACAACCATCCAGGGTGGTAGTAGACTGGTAGATAGCAACCATCTAGGGTGGTAATAGACAAGTAGACAACCATCCAGGGTGGTAGTAGACTGGTAGATAACCATCTAGGGTGGTAGTAGACTGGTAGATAGCAACCATCTAGGGTGGTAATAGAATAGTAGACAACCATCCAGGGTGGTAGTAGACTGGTAGACAACAACCATCCAGGTTGTGGTAGTAGACTGGTAGACAACCATCCAGGGTGGTAGTAGACTGGTAGACAACAACCATCCAGGTTGTGGTAGTAGACTGGTAGACAACCATCCAGGGTGGTAGTAGACTGGTAGATAACAATCCAGGGTGGTAGTAGACTGGTAGATGACAACTATCTAGGGTGGAAATAGACTGGTAGACAAGCATCCAGGGTGGTAGTAGACTGATAGACAATAACCATCCAGGGTAGTAGATTGGTAGACAATAACCATCCAGGGTAGTAGACCAGTAGACAACAACCAACAAGGATAGTAGACTGGTAGACAACCATCCAGAGAAATCATCCAGGTTGGTAGTAGACTGGCAACAACCATCCAGGGTAGACAACCATCCAGGGTGGTAGTAGACTGGGAGATAGCAACCATCTAGGGTGGTAATAGACTGGTAGACAACCATCCAGTGTGGTAGTAGATTGGTAGACAACCATCCAGGGTGGTAATAGACTGGTAGATAATCATCCTGGGTGGCTAACTGGTAAATAACAACCTTCTAGGGTGGTAATAGACTGGTAGACAACCATCCAGGGTGGTAGTAGACTGGTAGACAGCAGCCATCCAGGTTGTGGTAATAGACTGGTAGACAGCCATCCAGGTTGTGGTAGTAGAATTGGTAGACAGCCATCCAGGTTGTGGTAGTAGACTGGTAGACAACAACCATCCAGGGTATTGGTTAGACTGGTAGAACAACAATCCAGGGTGGTAGACTGGTAGAACAACCATCAGAGAAATCAGATAAATGGAAAATGAACACAATCTGTTTTTAGACACAGAGAAGCAATTGGACCAAAGAAAGAGGTGTAACTGGTACAGATAGCCACAACACTGGGACATACCCAAGCCAGGCATCAACTATCAGCGATGAATATGCAATTCAAATGCATATCAGTTACTGGAGAAACCAGTGGTATTCTTACACTCCAGGGGCCATACCAATGGTACATCACCAGTGGTATCTGCACCAGGGGCCAATACCAATGGTACTTCAACCAGCGGTATCTACACCAGGGGCCATACCAATGGTACATCACCAGTGGTATCTTACACCAGGGGCCATACCAATGGTACATCACCAGTGGTATCTACACCAGGGGCCATACCAATGGTACATCACCAGTGGTATCTGCACCAGGGGCCAATACCAATGGTACTTCACCAGCAGTATCTACACCAGGGGCCATACCAATGGTACATCACCAGTGGTATCTACACCAGGGCCATACCAATGGTTCATCACCAGTGGTATCTACACCAAGGGCCATATCAATGGTACATCACCAGTGGTATCTGCACCAGGGGCCATACCAATGGTTACTTCACCAGCGGTATCTACACCAGGGGCCATACCAATGGTTCATCACAGTGGTATCTACACCAGGGGCCATACCAATGGTACATCACCAGTGGTATCTACACCAGGGGCCATACAATGGTGCATCACCAGTGGTATCTACACCAGGGGCCATACCAATGGTACATCACAGTGGTATGTACACAAGGGGCCATACCAATGGTACATCACCAGTTGTATCTACACCAGGGGTCATTACCAATGGTACATCACCTGTGGTATCTACACCAGGGGCCATACCAATGGATACATCACCAGTGGTATCTACACTAGGGGCCATACCAGGTTGTACATCACCAGTGGTATGTACACGAGGGGCCATACGAGGTAGTACATCACAGTGGTATGTACACCAGGGGCCATACCAAGTTGTACATTCACCAGTGGTATGTACACCAGGGGCCATCCAAGTACTATGTCACCAGTGGTATGTACACCAGGGGCCATACCAGGTAGTACATCAGTGGTATGTACACCAGGGACCATACCAGGTAGTACATCAGTGGTATGTACACCAGGGACCATACCAGGTAGTACATCACCAGTGGTATGTACACCAGGGACCATACCAGGTAGTACATCACCAGTGGTATGTACAACAGGAACCATACCAGGTTAGTACATCACCAGTGGTATGTACACCAGGGACCATACCAGGTAGTTACATCACAGTGGTATGTACACCAGGGGCCATACCAGGTAGTACATCACCAGTGGTATGTACACCAGGGGCCATACCAGGTAGTACATCACCAGTGGTATGTACACCAGGGGCCATACCAGGTAGTACATCACCAGTGTATGTACACCAGGGACCATACCAGGTAGTACATCACCAGTGGTATGTACACCAGGGACCATACCAGGTAGTACATCACCAGTGGTATGTACACCAGGAACCATACCAGGTAGTACATCACCAGTGGTATGTACACCAGGGACCATACCAGGTAGTACATCACAGTGGTATGTACACCAGGGACCATACCAGGTAGTACATCACCAGTGGTATGTACACCAGGGACCATACCAGGTAGTACATCACCAGTGGTATGTACACCAGGGGCCATACCAGGTAGTACATCACCAGTGGTATGTACACCGGGGGCCCCATACCAGGTAGTACATCACCAGTGGTATGTACACCAGGGACCATACCAGGTAGTACATCACCAGTGGTATGTACACCAGGGACCATACCAGGTAGTACATCACCAGTGGTATGTACACCAGGGACCATACCAGGTAGTACATCACCAGTGGTATGTACACCAGGGACCATACCAGGTAGTACATCACCAGTGGTATGTACACCAGGGGCCATACCAGGTAGTACATCACCAGTGGTATGTACACCAGGGGCCATACCAGGTAGTACATCACCAGTGGTATGTACACCAGGGGCCATACCAGGTAGTACATCACCAGTGGTATGTACACCAGGGACATACCAGGTGTTACATCACCAGTGGTATAGTACACCAGGGACCATACCAGGTAGTACATCACCAGTGGTATGTACACCAGGAACCATACCAGGTAGTACATCACCAGTGGTATGTACACCAGGGACCATACCAGGTAGTACATCACCAGTGGTATGTCACACCAGGGACCATACCAGGTAGTACATCACCAGTGGTATGTACACCAGGGACCATACCAGGTAGTACATCACCAGTGGTATGTACACCAGGGACCATACCAGGTAGTACATCACCAGTGGTATGTACACCAGGGGCCATACCAGGTAGTACATCACCAGTGGTATGTACACCAGGGGCCATACCAGGTAGTACATCACCAGTGGTATGTACACAGGGGCCATACCAGGTAGTACATCACCGTGGTATGTACACCAGGGACCATACCAGGTAGTACATCACAGTGGTATGTACACCAGGGACCATACCAGGTAGTACATCACCAGTGGTATGTACACCAGGGGCCATACCAAGTTGTACATCACCAGTGGTATGTACACCAGGGGCCATACACAAGTACTATGTCACCAGTGGTATGTACACCAGGGGCCATACCAGGTAGTACATCAGTGGTATGTACACCAGGGACCATACCAGGTAGTACATCAGTGGTATGTACACCAGGGACCATACCAGTTAGTTACATCACCAGTGGTATGTACACCAGGGACCATACCAGGTAGTACATCACCAGTGGTATGTACACCAGGAAACCATACCAGGTAGTACATCACCAGTGGTATGTACACCAGGGACCATACCAGGTAGTACATCACCAGTGGTATGTACACCAGGGGCCATACCAGGTAGTACATCACCAGTGGTATGTACACCAGGGGCCATACCAGTAGTACATCACCAGTGGTATGTACACCAGGGGCCATACCAGGTAGTACATCACCAGTGGTATGTACACCAGGGACCATACCAGGTAGTACATCACCAGTGGTATGTACACCAGGGACCATACCAGGTAGTACATCACCAGTGGTATGTACACCAGGAACCATACCAGGTAGTACATCACCAGTGGTATGTACACCAGGGACCATACCAGGTAGTACATCACCAGTGGTATGTACACCAGGGACCATACCAGGTAGTACATCACCAGTGGTATGTACACCAGGGACCATACCAGGTAGTACATCACCAGTGGTATGTACACCAGGGGCCATACCAGGTAGTACATCACCAGTGGTATGTACACCAGGGGCCATACCAGGTAGTACATCACCAGTGGTATGTACACCAGGGACCATACCAGGTAGTACATCACCAGTGGTATGTACACCAGGGACCATACCAGGTAGTACATCACCAGTGGTATGTACACCAGGGACCATACCAGGTAGTACATCACCAGTGGTATGTACACCAGGGACCATACCAGGTAGTACATCACCAGTGGTATGTACACCAGGGGCCATACCAGGTAAGTACATCACCAGTGGTATGTACACCAGGGGCCATACCAGGTAGTTACATCACCAGTGGTATGTACACCAGGGGCCATACCAGGTAGTACATCACCAGTGGTATGTACACCAGGGACCATACCAGTAGTACATCACCAGTGGTATGTACACCAGGGACCATACCAGGTAGTACATCACCAGTGGTATGTACACAGGAACCATACCAGGTAGTACAT